ACAAATGAAGATTTATTGAGGTGATATTTTAAACTTTTTTCAAAAGCGTAATGGATTGAAGTATTTTTTCGAAGGTCTAAAATTTGATTTTTTTTTTTTTTTAAATTAAAAGAAGGTATTCACACACTAGTATAGTCTTGACTTTAATGAATACCATAGAAGACTTAAAGTCGGAAGCAACAAATTCTTGAAATCAAAATTGAAATTTCATGATTCAAAGACTAAAAACTTCGTGATTCGATTGAAGAATTCATTATTGAATTTGGGTAAATTTAATTTATTTATTTTTTTAATTTTTGTAAATGTATATTTTTCAATTTTTAAAAAATCACATGTTCGATCTCGGTTTGACCCCGATTCAACATTTTGATCCTTTTCTCTTTTTCGGATCGATGGCCAGGTCAATTTTTAAAACATTGGAAATGACACATCTTTTAGAACCAATATCATCATGAGATAGCATGACTTTCAAATGGTTTGGATCATTCAATTTTGTGTAAATTCATGGAGGCTCATCTATTCCATATGTAACTAAGCATCTGTACGTGAATTAATTACTATCCGACTAATTTAGAACTAGAAAATTAAATGTGCACCTAGCTGCCAAGGCTCGAGATCACGCCACTTGGATTTGGGCAGAGGTTCATGGTCCGCGACCACCTATATAAAAAGGATAAATTTATTTATTTTAAAAATTAGTTTTGAAAACAAAAAATTAAAAAAAAAACTTGTTAATTTATTTCTGCTCGACTTAATAACGGCCTAATTGATCTCATATTTTTAAAGATTGGTTCGGCTAGTCGAAAATGCTACCCATTGGTGTCTCCACACGCCAAGAAGAAATAATCTTTTGTCGTGTTTAAAAGTTATTTATTTATAAAAATAATTTTTTAAGTAGCAAAAGTTACTTAAAAAATTATATTTTTGAAATTGTCAAAAAGAAAATTATATTTGATAAAATAAGTAATTTTAAAGTAAATTCGTAGGGAAACTCTCACGTGGCACACTCAATTGAGTTCACATGGGTGGACCATATAGTTCCTATAATGTCTAGTCACATTTCCACACTGGAATTATTTTTTTTCTTGCTTTGCCTCTCTTGTGAATTAAAATAATTTTGATAAAAATTAATGAAATATATAATTAAAAAGCTATTGATCTCATGAAACATGTATAAAATTAATTATTGATTTTAACTTAAATTAAAATCTGATTTTACTCCCAAGCCTTAGGCAAAACGTGTATTGGTAATTTTTTTTTTAGTTTTGAAAAATTGCAGCCACATCCTCAATCTTCAACTCGTGGTGCACTTATGTCCTCGAACTTCATTTCTTGACATTGTCTTCAACCTTTCATTTTTATTTTAGGAACTTAGTCTTCACTAATAAAACCATTCAAAAGGGCAATCAAGTCCACTTAAAAAGAAGAAAATAAAAGTTCAAGAAAATAAAAGCAAAGCATAAAAAGGAAATAATTATATCCATTAAATTTTAATTCATTTTTTTCTCTCCTTTTATCAATCACACGTTATCTCAATAAAATAATATTATATATAAACCCAAAAATTCTCACTTTTTAACTACACGTTCTTCAAAAAATATTATTCCAAAATCAATTTTTTTTTCCGAATAATGGAACTCAAACAAGGGCATATTCATCATCTTCCTAGACCATAGTCCCAATGGCAAAGGGTAGTGGGGCTGTGGCGTAGTGGCCCTGGTCGTAAGTGGATTTTGCGATATTTTTATTATTTTCTTAAATGTTCTTTTACAATTGTTTTGTTAATAGATGGGTACATGGATATCTGTTCGATACGAGAAAACTTAGGATTGTGCTACATAACATTTTGGTTTGGGATCCCAATATTAAAATATGAGATCATGGTTTAGGGGTGACAATTATCCCCGATTATCTCGATCCCCATGGGACCTACCCAAACTTGCAGGGGATTCCAGATTAATCGAGGAATTGGGGCAGGGCTGGGAAAAAATTCCTTATCCCGAGTAGGGGACGGGGTTGGGAACAAGGTTGTCGCATCAAACTCGCTCCGAAAACCTTAGTGAATTGGAGGAAAAAGAAAATTTCACATGGTTGGAAATTGAACCCAGCTTGGGCATGTGAACATCGTATACAAGAATCACTTTACGTTGAATACATTAGTTATTTACGCTCGTTTTGAGTTAAATAAATTAATATCCATTGAGATTTAGCTTAGATTACTATTTGCTCACCAAACAAAAAATTTACTCACTACCCATTAAAACGTTTACCCATCTATCACTCATTTCAAATTTATTATCCACAATTAATGAAAAACTCCTACACTGTTAAATTTGTTTGTTCACTTGGATTAAAAAATGCATCCAACCAAAATGAAAACTTTTGTTTAATTTTTGTGAACAACTTTTTCTAAACCAAATCAAAAACCCGCCAAATCAAAAAACCCCAATTGTGTGAAGATAAACCCTAACCTATACCCAAATCGTCCTCCCATTGTCATTTTCCATTTCTATTTCCCTGTCATGGCCTCAAACCCATATCTTTCATGGCTTGTTTTTGTAAAGAGTTTTAAGTACTATTAAACAAACAACCATTGCACTAGCCTTCGGCAACCATTGTGTATTGCATTATAAAGAAAATTCAGGGAAAGTTCAGGAGTTTTTTTCTTTTCATTTTCTACCCGAATAACTCAACACTCCAATTCTACTGTTATTCAAGAAAGATATTGGTCGGACTACTGAAATATGGGCCAACTCCTTTAGATACCAGATATTTTTGATTAGCAAGATGATTACCTCTTACCCATATCCCACTTTCTCTGTTGTTTGCTAATGCAGAAGACTCATAAAATTGAATACTATCACGTGAATCAAATGACAGCGCTTCAAATTCAAAATCCTATCTCGAGGGTGGTGGTGAAATCCTATCCCAAAAGAGTGTTAACAAAAATTAAATAGAAGTTGTCATTTGGTTGGCTGCATTTTTAATCCAAGTAGACAAATTAATGGCGTGAATGTGCCAAATCAGCGTTTTGTCTGCACACTAAGGGTGCGTTTGATTGCAATGGTGGAAAATGGGTGGAAAGAAAATGATTTGCAGGAGAAATAATTGTCTAGAAAATGTTTTGTAGGGAAAATGATTTCAAGTGTGTTTGATTGGTATAATTTTCCACCCGAAAATTTTTTAAATTTTTTATTCGTTTGGTTTTGTTTTACATGGAAAATGTCTATTAAAGTGATAATGTTTTCCACAATTGGTTATAAATTTGTTTCTATTGCCAAAAAGTAAAAATAAATGGGAAAAAAATTGTTTTCTAAAAAATCATTTTTTTATCAAAGTTTAGTATTCGTTTGACTTTATTTTACATGAAAATTGTCTATTAAAATGAATTTTTTTTTTACCATTGGTTATGACATTTGTTTCCATTGCAAAAAAAAAAAAACATT